AAGAAGTGGGTTGTAGCCCACGAAAGCTTATGCTCTAATAAATTTGTTAGTCTCTAAGGTGCCACAAGTACTCCTGTTCTTTTTGCGGATACAGACTAACACGGCTGCTACTCTGAAACTTCCCATCCATGCTATACCTTGCAATCCCCAATACATTATTAGTATGCTTCAAAGCCTCACTATGTGCCATGCAGCCTCTACAAGACATTTCATTGGACTTATCCCCATTATATACCATATACTCCCCGTGGTATTGTAACTCATTGCTATACAACCTCCACTGCTCTGCACTGCCCCTTTCTGTATGCCATGCAGTTCTCCTACTGCATCCCAGTACCAGGCACACCAGTTGCACTCCACCATATGAGACACAAGTTCTCTGACTCCAGTCATGGTGCAGCCTTGCACATATTGCATACCCTCTCTACACACGTACAACACTCAGCACTGCTCCCCACTGTAAGCCATGCAACCTGTAATACCGAACTGCAGCCCCACCATGCAACAACCCCAGTGTGATCTCTTCTGAACTGAAAAGACTGAATTTCTCTACATGAACTCGCTCAGTTTCCAGTTAGAAAAATCCTGCAATGCCCAACACAAGCATGCAAAGCTGACTCTTAAAGGGACAAATATACACTGGGTTTTTCAGGATGATAGGACATCAATTCCAGGGATTGTGGCATTCAAACAAAACCACACCCATCACCCATTTCCATTTCCTTACCATTAGTGTTTCCATCTTGTCTCCTACATCTTGAGACTGGAGTAGCGGAGGCCTCGTTTTCTGGATCATTTAAGAAGCTGGACACAGAAATGACGGGATGATGTTTTATAAATAGTTAAACAGATGTTTCTCCCACCCGCTCCTTCCTGGAGATAGGAAAGAACTGGGTCTGACAGGGGCCAGCAAGCAAACAAGGTTTGTGAGAGTTTAAGTGATCATAATTTCTGATAAATCCTCTTCACATCTGGGAGGAGCCAGTTAATTCCAAACTTAAGTCACATTTGGTGGTGGGGTTTTTTTTTAAGAAAAAAGGCACATCCGCAATTCAAGAGCAAAATAGGAAAACAAAGCACTTCGGCTTTGCCAGAAAAATAGAAACTACGCTGAAAAATGGGAACTATTTTACTCTCTTTGTTAACACGGTATTTAAATATATACTTAGCACACGCGCGCACACAAAGTTCCTTGATTTCTCGGCCTTTTCCGCTCTTTGTAGTTTCTTTCCCATCTGGTTATTTCCTCCCTCATTAAGCAGTTCCACCCCCATGAGGTGTCTTTGTATTGAAATTCTTGTAAATCCTTCTTGGTTTAGAATACTTCCCACAGAGGGTTACCCAAACGCTTATCTCCTCAAGTGCTCCTTCCCAATCTTTACCTGGCCTTTCCGAGGTCAGATTTTACAACAAAACAAATGGCTATATTCACCTTGAAACTCCAGGAATCCTAGTTTGTGTGATATTACATATGCATTTCCACAACAGCAACACCTAACACGGTAGTGGCTGGGCTTTCGTTAGTAGTCCGCATACAGGCTGCTAGCGACAGTTTGCATTCTGCTTTCCAGGAAATGCCAGATTGCTAGTCTTTTCCCCCCGCGTGCTTCCAGGTTGCTCACTTTGCTCTTCCTTGTGTTGGTGGGTGTATACAGGAGAGTGTCGTTATAACAGCTCTGTCATGTCAGCCTCCTCTGAATCAACGTAAGATCCCTGAGCCGGAGCTGCGTATTGGCAGCCAGTCGGCTTCCGGCGTGATAAAGCCAGCTTCACGCTCCATGCCGGAGTCACTCCTGCTGCAGCACTTGGATGACACCAGCCGGTTAACGCTGAGTACTGCAGTAAGTATGACAAAAAAATTCAATTTAACAAAACAAAAGAAAATGTTTTAATTTTGTTTCAAAATTTGCCATAACACTAAAAAAAAAAAAAATTTAATTGAACATTACATTTTCCTGGAAAAAAAATCGTTTTAAAGACAACCCCAGTTTTTGCTGGGATAAATTTTCAGTTGAAAAATTTCTAAGCAACAGCTTCTGCGAACTCTGTGCAGAAGCTAATGAGGAAAAGGGGGTTGAGGCACTGTAGAAGTGTGAGTAGTTTACATCAGCTACAAAAGGAAGCTTCAGTCACATCTTTAACATAGCGACAAACCGTCCTATGGCACCTTATAGACTAACAGATGTATTGGAGCATAAGCTTTCTTGGGTGAATATCCACTTCATCAGACGCATGTGACTAACACAGCTGCCCCTCTGATCTTTAACATAAGAAATCAGAATGATGGAACAAAATCAGGAATATCAGGGATAACCTCTTTCGGATAGTTTTATTAGTGTCCAGAGTTCTGTGTGTGTGTGTGTGTGTGTGTGTGTGTGTATATATATATATACACACACACACACACACACACACTTCACATTACAGTATTATTAGTGTAAAAACAAATCTATGTTAAACTTGCTCAAACCTCATGCTTCAAGGCATAATCAACCTCTTACCGCTGAGCGTTAGGAAGAAATTTCCCCTTTACACAAGTTGTTCCAAGGCAGTAGGAAGACAAGCAGGCTAAACTGTAGATTTATTTGGGTTTTATATCGAGAAGTTTTAATTGGTTTTTAAGAAGAAGTCTGTACTTCTACAAACACAATAAAGAGGAGATGCCCTTTAGAAGGCTGGTAAAGAAACAAATGATGTCACAATAACTTCTTGAAAGGTGTTGTTTGATTTTATTTATAAGTGAAGGAAAATATACAAATCTCAAAGAGCTGTTTTTCTTTGATCTTGTAACAAAGTGCTTGATAAGAAGTAATACAGAAAATAAAATCAAAACATGACAGAAAATAGTTTCTAAAAGTACTATAATAAAGCTAACTAGTTAAAAGGAACATCCTAAAGAGCCTATATATATATAATTTGTAGAACGTGACTTAACTGCTATTGCATAAGAAATGAGGTGGGTTTTTTGTTTGTTTGGGGGGGTTTTGATCAGCCAATTCAGGAGCATGGTATATAGCTTTTCTAGGTTGAAAGAGTCCCCCACAACCCGGATCCTCTCCCCTTGAGGCTTGGGCTACACACAATTTTTGTACCAATTTAACTATTTCAGTTTACACACACACACACACACACACACACAAGTCACATCCCTAATCAAAAATAGTTAAATTTATACAAAACCTGTTTAGCCCAGGCCTGATGTGCTGCTTAGGTCTTATGTGGCCTTCTGCAGAGGGTGAATTTCACCCTTCAGAGTCTTCCAGTGGAGACAGGGTCTGGATTCCTAATGTAAAAAACAAGCTGAATAATGACCTATAGAAATTTTTCAGGCTGCACTTATACATCATTAACAAGCTAAGTGCAGAAGACTAAACAGTTTCCTTTGCAGGCCACATCTGAAGTACTGTTTAACCAGCTATCCTGCACATTTATATCAATCCCTAATATGCCACTCCATGCCATATCTGCGAAGACTTCCTTCATTGTTTTAATCATTAGAGAGTCTTCTGCTGGGTCATGCAAAACAAAATCTTGTCATCTCCTTTTCCATCTCCAGTATAACAGCTCATCAGAGATTTCTTTCGGACTCCTACTAAGTGTTAACTGGTAAAATTAAACTTAAGAACAGTGTTTTAGATGAGGAAATAATTTATTTATATGACAGTAGTGCCTGGAAGTCCCAGCTCGTTGTGTTATGCTGTGTACAAATACACACTGAGATAGTCCCTGCCCTGAATATCTTATAATCTGAACAGGAAAGACAGATCAAGGGTAGAAGAGATGAAGTACTATCACACCCATATTACAGATGGGGAACTGAAGCATGGAGAGATTAAGTTCTTGCTCAAGGTGATATTGGGAGTCTGGCCAATCTCTAGTTTGGTACCTTAACCACCAGACAATCCTTCCTAACCATGGTGACTGAGGACCAAGTTTTGCTGCCATTTACCCTCCTTCAGTCCCATTGATTTCAGCTGGGCTCCCTGAGTACAACTGAGAACAGAGGACCTGATCTTGCAGGTTTTGGGACAGAATTTAGCACTGAATGTATTATGGGACTAGTTGGGGGAAAAAACAAATTAATATCTGTTTGTTAGCTCAGCCTAATGAGACTAATCAAGTTAATTCCTCCCTCCCCACACACACACACCAAGGGAGACAGTGAAATGGTATCATGTAAAAGTTATTTAAAACAAAGGGTCAGCTGCCTCCTGAGTGCCCCCTTGTGGCCAGAGGCAATTGTGTGGCACCTATCTCTGTTTTCCCCTCATAAGGGCCCCTTAAGAGCAGCGCACGGGCTCTAATGTGGATAGCAGCTCCCCCTGCTGGGGCTAGTTTAGAACTGAAAATTCTTTACTGTATCACCACCACCCTGCCTGAGACCAGTTTAATATCAGAACTAGTTCTGAACAGTCCTCAGGGCCCCAAAATAAAGTCCATCTCCACATTACAGACCATACTTGGCTCTGGTGTCTTCCCACATAGCCAGAGCTCTTCTGTCCTAGTCTGTTCTCAGCCTGTCTTCCCAGATCTTCCTAGCTGGAGCTCAGCCTTCTAACTTAGACCTTAGGCTTTATAAAAAGCAGTTTAATAAAAATATCAGTATTGCCAACCACAAGCATTCAGTAACCATGAATCATGCCCTCAAAAATCATGAGATTGGTTTAAAAATAATGAGATTTTTAAAATATATACATTTGGGGGGGGTTGTTTTTTCTCCTGGTTTTTGAGCCTTCTGGGTTAACTCAGGACACATTTTCAGGCTTTACTCCACAACTTTGAGGGCTTCAAATTTATTTCTTTTGAAATGAAAGCTGAGATTCTCCTTCAGTCTCTTAATTCCAGCAGCTGGCACTGTAACAAAAACATATGAGAGTTGGCAACACTGAAATAAAAATAACCTTAATGAAGTAGTGTCAGAGGAAATTAGAGAAGAATCTGTTTAATGTATTACATGTCTCTGGTTTCCTTCTCCAGACCGGAGGAAGAGCTCTGAGAAGCTCAAAAGCTTGTCCCTTCCACCAACAGAAGCTGATCTAATAAAATATATTACCTCACCCACCTTGTCTCTCTCATGTCCTGGGACTAACATGGCTACAACAACACTCAACAATAGTGAAGTGAAACAGATCAAATCTATATCTTTAGAACTGTTTGAACCTCCCTATGCCATTTATATAGCCCGTGAATCTCTTTTCTTCAAAATCTCTGGAGTGTGATGAATAGCTCTCATTTACCATGGGGTATCTCAGGACAGATTTTCGGAAATGTATTGTTTACAGCCAACTCTGCTCTCTTAATCAGTTTCCAAAAAGGACATAAAACAGAAGTTTTAAATATTGGTTATATGGCACTGACAAATTCCAAAGTAACCTAGTGTACATCTGTCACATTCCAGGTGTAATCCAGACCAGTGAGGGGTTGTGTCACTACCTCTCCTGCAACCTTGGGTGCCTCACAATGCTTTGCTGTTGTAGCTCCCATAGGCGCTGACTCTGTGGGTGCTCCAGGGCTGGAGCATCCATGAGGAAAAAATGGTGGGTCCTGAGCACCCCCGGCAGCCTCCCTATAAGCTCCCCTCCTACGCCCCAGTGCCTCCCACCCGCCGGTAAGCCCCACAGATCAGCACCTCCTCCTCCCTCCCTCCGCCTCCTGCAATCAGCTGTTTCGTGGCATGCAGGGAGGCTGGGAGGGAAGGAGAGGAGTGAGGATGCGGCGCACTCGGGAGAGGGGGCGGGAAGAGGCAGGGTGGGGCCCTGGGGGAAGGGATGGAGTGGGGGCTGGGGCAGAGCCCCGGAGTCGAGCACCCCCCGGCACATCTTTGAAAAGTCGGCACCTGTGGTAGCTCCCAATCTAGGCCACTCACAAACAGCCTTCAAGCATACAGGTCATAGCTTGAGTGTCTGTGTATAGCTGTAGACCTGGTCCAGCAGCTGTTACCCCAGCAGCTTGTCAGCAACACACCAATCACACTCTGGATTCCACCAGCCTTGGTTACTACTTGCAGGGTGACTCCAACACAATCCCAGTCCTGAATTTTTCCAAAAATGTGTTTTTGCACTGTCCACCCCTCTCCAGGACAGTTCAGATATCAAGGTTTCTTGCTCTTGAACAGTCAATATTCAACTGTTTTATACTTTAATTGGAGTCACCAAACAGTTCAAACACAACACTGGATTAGTTTAGATTAAAAGATAATACAAGTTTATTAACAAAAGAAGTTAGGATTTTAAGTTAATTCAAGAATGGTTACAAGCACATAAAAGTGAAAACACATCTGAAAGTCTAAAACTTAAACAAAGCCTTGAACCAAAACTTGCTAGTTTAAGATGGTCTGTCTCACCCACAGTCTTCCAGCAAGATGTTGACTGTCCCTTTCCTTGGTCAGGAACTCTCCCAAAGATGGTGGTGCCTTTGTCTTCTTAGGTGAAAGAGAGAGAGAGAGAGACCTGTTTAACAACTTTTGCCTAGGCAGGGCTATGTACTTTTGAATATGTGCTAACAACATCATAATTTTACATATAATGTTGCTACATACAATTCACCATGATATTACTGACCAGTTATTAGTTTTCAAATGATACCTCACAAGACATATTTTGTATAAAGATTACTACAATAGTGTGTAGGGTGTGAATACAGGGGTGCTTTCAGTCACAGCATCCATTGCCACAACTCTGATTTAGTTAATTTCTTTATATGCTCTATCACATAAACCACTGAAATATCATTTCTTAAC